GAATTGATGAAGGCAAGATGAAAATACATAATACACATATTGGAAAATATATATTGGATGTAACCATATTAGAAATAGGAATTAGAAAATATAAAGGATGTATGTGTCAGGATCCAGTTTCCGGAGCCTGGGCTTTGGCGCCGAAAACTAGAGTCCTGACGCTTCACTCTGATAAGGACCGTGCAGCTGGTGGCCTTGGAGGAAGGCAGTTGCCTGGTGGCGGGAAGCTTTACGCGGGGGTTTCGGGTTCGGCGGGAATCTGCTCTTCAAATAAGTGGGTGTGTATATAAGGGGCTGCCAGCCATGGCCAGTCAATCTCGGCTTTTTCCATGTCCATGCATCCACCAGTAAAGTTCTTCGTTTGATAACGATGGAAGTCTCGTGTCATCATTGAGCACGACTGTTGTGAGCTGACATTAAGCCGAGATTGACTGGCCACGGCTGGCAGCCCCTTATATACACACCTTATGTTGTGTATATGTTGTGAGCTGACATGTATGCATGCATGAACTTCACTTCACTTGGCTTCTTAAAAGCTGCAAAATTAGATGCCTCAAGAGAGGCTAGGGTCTAGGAAAGGAATGTCAAGAGACCCCTGGCAAATTTCAAGAGACTCTTTCCATTTTGGTGCCACGTGAAGCTTATCATAAGATTAATGAGCTGGCATTCAAGAGGCTTCAGGAAGGACTTATCTCAGGATGGAGGGAAGCTCTTGCTATCAGTGGCCTTGTAGAGACTCTGGCGCATGGTCCTCATTAATAGCAGCTCCTCAGATAAAGATGCTTAAATGAAGATTGACAGGTGTTGAAGTTAAAATATGCCATTGAAGTCAATGTAAAAGTAGAATTTTGTGATGCACATTGTGATGCCTGTATGATGCATGCATATTATTTTAAAGGGTATATAAACCTAGGTGTTTCTTTGTTCAATACCCTGTTCCTGGACTACCAGCAGGGTCCATGGCACCAACCGAGAATAAACCGTGCTTTTGCAGACCTCAGGAACTCTCTTTGTCTCTTTTTCCTGAAACCTTCTCCCTGCCATTTCAGAATAGCTATTTACTCAAGGTTTATTATTTTGCTCTCTCATTTGATTCAAGATGATGATGCCTTATTCTATGTTTCTTACAAGGACTATGTAAGTTTGAACTGTCTGATTTTTGAAGTTGAACTGTCTGATTTTTGTATGCAGCATTCAAAGTTAATGTTTCATCTCTGCTATTAAGAGTAAAGGTTTTTCTGTTCATTTTTACTCTTGTCCGTGAATCTATTGCATTTGGACTTTGGGCGCTGGGTAAAATCCGCTGCTGCACAACAACGCTTAGCTAGCCATGGATTGTCTACAAAGGCCAGGATGTGAGTTCTTCAAGAAGCAAATACAAAAGCAAAGTATGTGCACGCACCCTTAGTCTCCCTGAGCGCCTTCACCAAGTGCTGGGCCTCCTCCTGGGTCCGTTCCTCAATGCTTTTCTTCCCCATCCCAAAGTTCCTCAAGGTCATGAGGGAGAAACGGCGGAGCTGGATCCAACGCTCACCATTGGACATGAATAAGCCTGAAGGAGGCAACCAGAGAAGCTGAGTGAGCTCAGAGCTTAGCTCAGTAAAGTTAGACATGAACTGGATTGAACATTGCACATCATTTCTGGCCATGTTCCCTTAGGACAGTGGTTCTCAACCTGTGGGTCCCCAGGTGTTTTGGCCTACAACTCCCAGAAATCCCAACCAGTTTACCAGCTGTTAGGATTTCTGGGAGTTGAAGGCCAAAACATCTGGGGACCCACAGGTTGAGAACCACTGCCTTAGGAGAATGTTACAGGGCTTATGGGATGAATGGGGGCTTTCAAGGCCACAAAAGCAATGATCCGATGTTGGATGTGGCCTACTGGCTGAACTACATGCCAACTTCTACTTTTGAGCAGGCAATAGCATGTTTACATGTCCCCAAGATTACTGGTCCTTCTTGGCTTCATTGTTGGTGGTTCACATGTCCCTGAGATACCTTCTTTTAAAAAGAAACAGCTTTCTTTGTGGAACATTTCAACAATGAAGCCAAAGGTGGGCAATGGCACCTAGTGCCATTTCTGGTGGATTTGGGGCCAGTCAAATTCCTCCCCAGCGGCATGAGCTGTATCAGACAGGTTCCCTCTTCTCCCAATGAATGGTGTCTCACTTGGTTGAAGGACCTTACCAAGTCCTCGGTTGACCTTATCTGCCGTTGGAAGGCTTCCCCGGTTGAGGAAATCATCTCCACTTTCCAGAAGGACTTTCTTCACCACATCGTAGCCATAAATGACAACCACCTGATCTGAGCCGAAATACACCATGAAGACAGGACCGTACTTGGTGCTCAGCTGCAAAGGGAGAGCAGATGGGAGGTGTTTCAGCACACTGTCAAATGAATGCAACCACTTCAACTGTAATGGTTCAGTGCTGTCGTTCAGTGAGCCTCCTGCACTTTTCGACATAGAGGAGTAAGGACTTTGTAAAACTATATGTCTCACAATTCCACAGCATTGGGCAATAGCAGTTAAATTATTATTGCAAATAACCTGCTCCTATTTTTATCTCATTAGAACAGTGGTTCTCAACCTTCCTAATGCCGTGACCCCTTAATACTGTTCCTCATGTTGTGGTGACACCCGACCATCACATTATTTTCGGTGCTATTTCATAACTATAATTTTGCTACTGTTGTGAATTGTAATGCAAATATCTGATATGCAGGACATATCTTCATTCACCTGACCAAGTTTGGCAGGAATACCCAATATGCCCACATTTGAATACTGGTGGGGTTGGAAGGGGGATTGATTTTGTCATTTGGGAGTTATAGTTGCTGGGATTTATAGTTCACCAACACTCAAAGAGCATTCTGAACTCCACCAATGATGAAATGAACCAAACTTGGCACACAGAACTCCCATGACCAACGGATATATACTGGAATGATGTGGTGGGCATTGACTTGGAGTTTGGGAGTTGTAGTTCACCTACATCCAGAGAGCACAGTGGATTCAAACAATGATGGATCTGGACCAAATTTGACATGAATATGCCATATGCCCAAATGTGTACACTGGTGGAGTTTGGGGAAAATAGACGTGACATTTGGGAGTTGTACTTACTGGGATTTATAGTTCACCTACAATCAAAGAGCATTCTGAACCCCACCAATGATAGAATTGGGCCAAACTTCCCACACAGAACTCCCATGACCAACAGAAAATCCTGTGTTTTCTGATGGTCATTGGCAACCCCTCCAACACCCCCTTGCGACACCCCCAGGGGTCCCGACCCCCAGGTTGAGAAACACTGCATTAGAGTTTTTTAAATTGTTTGATTCTGTACTTGTGGCCCGCCCATTGTTATCGTGAGTGTGCTTATTGAATTGTTATTTTATGACGGTGTTTATATTGATTTTCTTTCTTTTAAAATTTCTCTTTATGTAATTTTTGATGATGTAGTTTGATGTTTATGTCTTGGTGTTATTTTGCTGTAATATGCTGTCCGGGCTTGGCCCCATGTAATCTGCTCCGAGTCCCCACTGGGGAGATGGTGGCGGGGTATAAATAAAGGTTGTTGTTGTTGTTGTTGTTACTCTAAAGTAGCTTACAGAAAACCAACACAACCCAATTTAAACCCCAAAAATATGCAAGTATTAAAATAGAATTAAACATTAGCAGTATTAACAATGGTGTTGAACTGCATTCATTTGAGAGGAGGCGTGCCAAGGGTTGCCGTTCCCAAGCAGCCTGAAAACCAGGGTTGCCAAAGTGGAGGGAAGAACCAAGCTGTCAAAACAGGTCAATTATGAATTGCCTCGAGAAGACAATTATGCTGGGGAAAGTGGAAGGCAAAAGGAAGAGGGGCCGACCAAGAGCAAGATGGATGGAT